TTATCCTTTACAAAATTATGAAGAAAAACGAGTAGTGCTGAAATCTAGTAGCACGAAACAAATGACAGCGACACAAATCATAGAAAAAAAACTATTTAGTGGGCTTAAAAATTTGATAGATGAATCGGCAGACTCGAGACTAAACTGGAATGGAATAGTTTCAAAGGTTAATCGCCCATGTGGATTTAACAACTTACATGCCGTATCTATAACTATCCTCTATTTGCGCTTGTTACATAACTCTCTAAAAAGATAATTTTGTTGTCCTTAGAGTGGTCTATAAAACTGAATATTCAAAGGTGATGATGATCTTTAAAAAGCCGAGGTGAGGATTCTCGTTGCAACGACTGCTAAATCACTTTTCAACACAACGCGACGGCGTTCTCGACCCAGTTTCTTATCGACATTTTGCTGTGCGCGCCGCTCTGAAATGACGTTCCCGTCCTATTGCTAAACCACTCTAATGGAATGTTCGAGAATGCACGACTTGCAAACACGCTTCACACTCGCCTTGTTCAAAGGTCTCTCTATAGAGCTCGCAAAATGCCCTTTTCTATTTTGCGCAAATCAAAATTGAAAACATTTGGCGAAAAAAGCTTGAACGCATGAAATGTCTGCAGTCATTCTTCCGAAGTCATGCTTCTCACGCACCGGTAAAAGATGGCTGCGCAAAAAATTAAAACACCAATATATAACAAGAAGTAAAATACCAACTTGGGCCTACAATCATCAAATATGCTCGTTCAAAATCTCTTTTTAAAGCTCTTAAATGCTCTGTTTTAATAAATACAAGTCAAACTAGAAAAACATTGAGCGAAAAAACCTGAGGGCATAAATGTTTTCAATGATTATTTGGAGTTCATTGACAGGTGAAAACAAAAAGGATATACACTTGTAAACGCTGCCGCTCGAGATCCCTTAATTGCGCTATTATTTCATTCCTTTGAGTCTTCCTCCAAAAGATCTCTCATTTCCCAGAACGACCGAATCCGAACTTAGTTATTACGCTTTCGGCGGTTCTACGTGTCCCCCCCGAAGTGAATACCCAAAGGAATAAATCGAGCCTTCAATGCACAAAATCCAGCGGTAACACCCATTTCTGAATGAATCACTTCAATCGACGTGAAGTTGTAATGCGAATTTGAGTGTAGCTACAAAGCTTACGTCTTCCTGTTAAAATATAATAAAATGCAATGAAAATACAAATTCTAATAACAATATAAAATTGACATGCCTTTCAAATAATACATTAATAAAATATAAAGTACTATAAAATACGATACAATTTACAACAGATATAAAAATAAATGCTTGTGATACTAAATGTTAAAATTGACAAAACTAAGAGTTTTCTTCTCAAATTCATACAAATCCTCGCAAGCTCTCAGGCCATCAGATAGGGAATTCCATAGTTTAGCAGCTAGGTAATTAAATGAATATAGACCATACACTGTTGTTCTCGGCTGAGAAACTGAGAGGATGTGGCGATCACGTAGGTTGTAATTTGTACAACGAGGAGTAAACATAGTTCTCACAGGAGAAATTTATCGATACTTTGCAATGTTCGCTACACAATCAAGAGAACATTTCCCATAAACTCCCTCGTTAACATTTCTATTTATTTTTTCTGTGGACTTCTGAAAAGCACGTTTTGTTAAAAAAAAGTACCATGTGACCAATATGTTATCCGAATGAAATGCATTAAAGCTTATTTCTATGTGAATTTTCTATTTTCGAAGCACCTGGTGTGTGATCCTAAGGTCAGTCCTCTGATAAAGAACCTGCACTGAGATTTTTTTTAACTCTACCTACTGATTGTTTACCTTGAAGGAATGTAAATTTTGAAATAAAAAATACAGGTCCCAGTTTTCGTTTAGGAGCTGCATTACCTAGAATACGTACCATATGATTACTAAAATACACTGAAGATTATAGTTACCGGATCCTCCTACGTTCGCTTTTCCAAAATTGAATTCCTTTTCCTACGAAGAGAATTCGTTTATATTTATTTCACGGAAAGATATTACGTGCCCAACACCAATGTAGAGAAAAAATGATGGATCAACCTCCTCGTTTGAAGAAAGTGACATTTTACCTCTCTGGTGAGTGCCGAGCACAAAGAAAAAGCCACCATTTTTTAATCTGTGCGCAGTGGCCAGGTGTGAAATCATGCGCAGTAAGGATATCCAATGCAATATTACGAATGACCTTACAAGTGCAAGGTATACGTAACATGCATTATAGGAATCAAACCGATCGCACTCCATTCAGATTCAAGCACGTTCCATGAATGGTTCACCTAGAACTTGGGAATATAAAATAACATCCCCCTAATTTCAAACATTACCAAAAATACGACAATGGTCTTCGTTTAAGATTTGAATCAAGGTGGGAGGGCGTTTTGTACAACTGAGCTACCGAAAAAAAAAATCATAAAACTTAAATCGTTCATAAACTCTTTCTACATAAAACTAAAAGGTCAACCTCCCAGGCATCCCTGGAGACCCAGGGGCTGTGAGTCGATTTCAAGTCAGGACGGAAGAGCCCCTGGGGACATTGTCTTACAAGACTAGTTCCAAACGGTCGCAGCAACTGGCGCTTACGCTTACGTAGCTTTCTGTGCGCGCTAAAATCTAACCCTTACACAGTAGTAAAGTCTTTCACAATACGGCGCGCCAACGTTGCAGAGAACGTTAAGTTCGTGGACGACCTCCACCAAGCGCTTAGAGAAAGCTTAGCTGTGTTTCCGGTAAGCGGCGAACAAAATCTGAACAAAAACTTTCTATCGAGAACATTGTGGGAAGGAGGGTTGTTTTTTAGGACAGTTACCGACGGGGTTTGGAAAGAGCTTCATTTTTTCAATTGCTGCCATTTTCCAGTTGCTCGACATACCTGCGTGGCCCGTGCGACAAAATAACTTCACGGGATTGGCAAAGTTTCAGTCGCAGCAAATTATACGAGAAATCTAGAACGATTTAAGCTTACATCTCGTCTAGCGTTTAAAGCGACATATTAACGCCTGCAACCATTGTGCTTTATACGAACCTCGCAAACTTTTAAATACGTTCTCTTTTGATACCTGCGAAAGTATTTAGTATAATTTCTAGTAAGATTTTCGCGGACAATCTGATCGGTTTCTCTTACATTGTGTGCTGAGACTGAAACTTTTTACCGAGGGCAAAGCTTCGTCGCACGGACCAAACAAACAGGGCGAGCAACTGAGCTTCTTGTACATTTCCGTGTTAAAACACACGAAAGGACTCTAAAGCATACTTCACTCTGATTGGGCAGAAAAACACAAAGATTTTCTGGTACCAATCAGATGCCAGAACGACTGCGACCGTATGGAACTAGTCTTGAAAGACAATGTCCACAGGGGCTCTTCCGCCCTGACTTGAAATCGACTCACAGCCCCTGAGTCTCCGAGGATGCCTCCCAGGTAGAAAATGCTTTTCGTTGACGATACTCCTATCATTTTCCATTCCTTTGGAATTTCATGCCTTTCTCCAATTCTTAATAATGAAATTAATTTCTGAAACTACCAATCTAATCACATCTTATGATTTCCAGGAAGGGGAGGGGGGGAATGCATATGAGATTTCCTTCAGTAGCATACGTACCACTGCAATTACATTGGCAGTAGCAGAATTATATTAATTCTGTTAAAAGCAAAACCGACCAAACTTACTTTTGTTAGATTGCTCACGTTCATCAATGATCTCTTGTACACTTGGTCTCGCCTCAGGCTCTCGTTGCAAACATTTTCGGATAAGGGCTCGATTCAATTTGTTTTTAACCATGGCGACTTGCCGATCACGCCTTTCTGGATTTGGCAGTTCCCGGATGCACATCTCACAGAGGAGGACACCAAAACTGTACACATCAACCTGAACAAGATAAGGGACGAAAATGAGAGGAAAACACAGCACTTCACTAAAGTTTCTTAGTTCTTACTAATGAGTCAGAATGTCTCGATCCATACCTATCTCAAGATGAGCGATAATACTTGATTTTACGTCTACACAATAAAAAGCCACGACCTTCTAAGGGTATTAACAAAATTAAAATTTATGTTCGTTACCTTAAGTTTAGGTCGATTCATAAACTTACATGCACGTGAAATACGCACATACATACAATAAACCAATTACAGCTTACCTTGACAGTTTGATTTTTAGTAAGTGCTTCAGGAGGACTGTATATCATGGCACCAGGAGCAACTGTCATGGTCTGCTGCATAAATTTGGCAGTTCCATAATCTGACACTTTGCCTCGCCAATGTTCACCCTGTCGCCAGAGTAGCACATTTGCACTGCTGATGTCGCGGTGAATAATTGGAGATGGTTGCTTTTGGTGAAGGTAGTTTAGCGCCCGAGCCACATCCAGAAAAATAAAAGACAATTCTGCCTCAGAAAGAGCTCTCTGTTCCAACAGAGTGCGTAAACTTGTTTCCATAAGCTCTGTTACAAACAGTGGATTCCCTTCGTCATTTGTAGCTCCGATGAACTGCAGCAAGCAAGGGTGGCG